CACCTGAGCCACAAAATTTAGTTAAGTTAAGCAAAATTTTACCATCACACTGAATATTTCCAGAGCTAGAGGCTGTTGAAATAAATTTACGCTACTTCTTCCAGCATTTGTGAGCCCTCATCCCTTCATATGTAAAGGACACAGCCGTGAGAAATTTTCAGTGCTGAAAAACATGTTTGAGTTCTGGTAAAACTGCAACCAAATCTATTTGACTTCCACTCAAGTTGTCATAATCTAAGGTCAAAATCTAGTTTTTATTCAACAACTTTGAGTATTACTATCATGGGGTATATATAATGTATAAAACATGTAAATAACAGGTTTTGTATTTTGTGTTCAGCACTTTGTTTTGACTTTTGTTGTGTTAAAGTGCTTTATAAATTAAGTTGAGTTGAGTTGAGTTGAGTTAAATATCAATGTTGTTTCTTCATTTTAGAGTCGGAAAATACATTTAAACGTGTTATACATTTATTCAAAAGTTATTTTCTTGTATGACTTTACATCATATGATAAAATACATTGTAATGGTGATGATGACAATGAACACAAACACTGGTGCACAAAAATGTCAATAATTCTTTGGAATAATGTTCATTGAAAACCTGGCTGAGACACTTTAATGTACGAGGTTAACAGAGATTTGGCCAGGAAGGCGTTCATCTACCTATACGCTTTGAACAAGACTTCCAAGTTGGTTTAGCTCCCTTCAGAGTTCTACCTGAAGTTGGGGAAAAAAATGTGATTCTGTAATGTCAGCATGTAGTGAAAGCCTGTGCTAGTATACACTTAAATAAATAGTATAGAGTTCAAGTTAGCATGACGGGCTGCAAGGTCGTGCAGTTGGTAGCACTGTTGCCTCGCAGCAAGAAGGTCACCGGTTCGCGTCCCGGTGGGGGTACTGGAATCTTTTGACATGGAGTTTGCATGTTCTCCCCGTGCAGCGTGGGTTCTCTCTGGGTTCTCCGGCTTTCTCCGACACAGTCCAAAAACACGTTGAGGTTAATTGGTGATTCTAAATTGTCCGTAGGTGTGAATATGAGTGTGCTTGGTTGTCTGTCTCTAAGTGTGGCCCTTTGATAGACTGGTGACCTGTTCAGGGTGTCCCCTGCCTTCACCCTAAGTCGGCTGGGATAGACTCCAGGCCCCCCATGACCCTACTGAGGATTAAGCGGTGTATAGATGATGGATGGATGAAGTTAGCATGACCCGTAGAGACACTTACCTGGAATTATCGTGTGAGATGCACCGTCCGACCACTTTGAAAATCAGGTGTTTACAGTCATCTGGAAGGCAGATTCAGGAGTTGGTTGTCAAAGAGAGCTACAAGACACAGTGTTGTTTAAAAGCATAGCATTGTACGCTTGAGAAGTGCTATGAATAGTTGAGTAACAGATGAATAAATAGAACTAGAAAGACTGCTATGCCCAAATTCTCTTGTCTCTTCTCTTGTCTTAACAACTGGCTATTTGCAAAATGAATTTTGCATCGTTGGTTTTTAGAAAATCACTGCATGCCCTACCCCACGTTTGAAAGGTTTTTTTAAACTTTCTTCACTCCACCATACAGTGTGTCCATTGAGTTATTAGGCTTTTCCTCTGGACGTTGATAGACTAGTTTATTTGAAGCATACTGAAGCCTTAATAAGACCATAAAGGTCAGGCTGGCTGTCCAACACTACGGCTGAGATGCTGCAACATCACCATAAGGGATTATTCTCTTTCTGTTTATGATCACAGGAAATGACGCGCATAATACTTGTGCCTGTGATTCAAGTAAGTCCTGGTGAGCAAAATCTGTAAAGCACGAATGTAGATGCAAATCGGGCTTCACGCATGCATAATACTTCCTATCAAGTGCCAAAGGTTTATTTATCTTTTGCAAAGTGTGCTTGTGCTCTGCCCAGGGAGCTTTTAACGCTACCAGTGAGTGCGTAGCATTAAAGCGACGAGGGGTTTGTTGTGATAGAGGTTATAGTTTTCTCTGGTATGTGTGGAGAGTGTAAAGAGACACCGCAGGCTGAGGGGATCACGTTGACCTCCTGGGCTCTCTGACCTCTCAGCCCTGTCAGCAGAGGCTGCCTCTCTCCTGCTGTCATCTGGAGGTGAAACTAAGCTGCGTGCTACAAGCATGACGTAGGAGCGATCTGCTTTCAGAATCACTTCGAATATGATGAATGATTCTTTGCTTTTCCTGTTAGGAAAAGAACTCAAGGGTGACTTTGCAGGAAGTCTGTAAACATTGATGGATGTTTTCAATCTGCAATTTGTCCTCTACTTTTGTTTTCTCTACCACATAAGTTTGCATCACTTGGGGATTTACTTAAAATCTAATTATCTGACTTGTGTTTCCCAGATCTCAGGAAGTAGTTTGACATGTGCTGTGTGACTATTTCTAGAAGACTCAACTTGCAATATGCTAGAATTCGATTATGATTTGCAAAATACTGCAGGACAAACAACAGAAAACGTGGTTTTATTCGAGTCTTGTGATACTCACTCTGCAGCACTGCGGTTGGATTTCTCCCTGTTGGTTTTGGCTCGGAGGGCAGCGTTGCACTGCGCCGTGCCTGCTGTACTGCCGAGCTGCCAGAACCAGTGGCCTTTAATCACACGAATGGCCTTAGCTGAATAAGTTGGCAAAGGAGACCACCCGGGACAAACTCATCCCCTTTGTGGAGAAGTAAAGAACACAGTGGTGCTGCTGTGAAAACCTCCACGATCGCTGAATATGACCCCGGCCTGTGAGTGGTCTCTGGTGTTTATACTTTGCCTGTGCTGAGAATACCAATGTGCAGCGAGCCAAACATGGAGAGGGAAGAAGGCGTCTCCGTGTCAGTGAGCTGCTGGAATAAACAGATTGTGGTTCAGAAAAGCTCAACAATCACCTTTCTGGTGTTTAGTGCCGAGCATGTGCAATCTATGTTGCATAAAAGTGTTTCATAAAGGCTGAAATTGGACTCAGAAGCGCATAACTGGAGTCTACAATTACCCCCAAGACAGCAATTAACGTTGTTATGGCACCACAGACTTTACATAAGCAGGTACTATAAGGTTATTTAGACAAAACAAAAGAGAGTAAAGCTCCATTTGCTGAAAGCTGAGTCATTTATGATCTGGTGCTTTCCGTGATTTGAATATGTATCTAATTTCAATCATTGTAGTGTTAAAAATCTAACTGAAAGAACAGTGTCTCTATTACTATAAAAACAGCTTCGTGTTGACAAGAAAGTGCTGAAGAAAGTACAACAAATAAATCAAGAAATACGATTGTAGCAGAGTCTGTTTGCATGTCAAGTGATTTGGGATGCAATGACAATAGATGGGATGGATCAAAGCTTTCAAGTTTAAAAGATCCTCATAAAGAGAGTTGGATGAGTAGGAAGTGCATAAGTCACAGTGCTTTCACCCAGGAAACTGATGTTTCTGTCCAGTAATGTACTCAAGTCTTGCCTTCACTTGATGTTTGCTATAGTTTAAGTACCAAAACTACCCGGTTAATGTTAGGAAAAGATCCTTGTTGGGTTGAAACGCACTCACAAACTTCTTGTCGCCTGGAAAGGAGCAACAGTGATAACACAAGTAAAATAACATGAGGCTGTGGATTCATGCATTTATGCAGTCATCTGACCATCAGGAACTTTCGTGGGTCTGTTGGTTTCCTCTGCACGTTGAAAAATGACACTGCAGTGTCCCCAGTGCATTTAAATGTGACACGAAGGGGTCCTGACATAGCAGCTGTATATGACAAGTTGGGAGTGAAGCCTTGTTCTTTGCTTAAAATTTTTATTTCTCTAAATGTATGCCGTTGGAAATCTGTGAAACCATATCCTTCTAGAAGGTGTATGGATAAATGGCATGAGTAGACTGCTATTTTGGCTCTCAATAAACTTGAATTATCTTTTAACAGCACAATGGGAACTCCCTTAAAGTATTTAGGTGATCTCACTGTGCTGTTACATCTTTAATCTTTGATGAAATGTCACTGAACTTAATATATAACTTCATGCATTCTTGTTAACAATGTGACAGAAATGTCTTGTATATAGTTTCTATAGGGGATCTACTGTATCACCACCAGCTCTCAGATGTCAGTCAACCTCTTCCATGGAAACGCCCTCTGTGGCTAGAAGCTTGGATGGTTTTTCCGCCAATACATCCAAGAACGGTCTTTTGAAAACCAGAAAAGTAGCTGCAGAACCGTAGACATGAGCAAAATACATAAATTTATTTTGATGTTTGACCCCAGTTCTGTCCAGATTGGTATATATAGAGGTGTCTGAGGCCTTCTTGTTTTTTTGCTCTTGTGCAGATGACATCTCTGCCATACATAACTGGAATGTGACAACCTGTTTATTAGTCACTTGAGACACAGAACTTCCACATGGTCCTGCAGGCTAGCGCTGCATAACTCGGACGTATTTGGAACTGCCTACAACATGGTCTTTGTGGAGACCTGTGTTACATGCATGGTCATGAGTTTCAGCACGTGCAACAGTAACCATTTAAGTGGCCTTTACAGTTTCCAGCAGCTTGCATCTTGAGGGAAATGCTGTTTTTAGACCTCGACAATACCTCCTTTGTGCTGGAAGTGTCGCGTCGAGGCTCTTTCCTGTGCAGAGCCTCACACGGTGTCCGTAAATTTAGCAGCTTTTGATGGTCCGACCTCGGAAAACAAACAGAAAGCTCGTGTCTGGGGCTGCGAGGTGGAGCTGAGGCCGGGATATCTGAGCAGCTGTTTCTTTTCTGCCTGTGGAGTGCAGAGTGAGTGTTGAAGCTCTCAACCCTCTGCCCACCCTGGCCGAATAGAGGAGGGAAGAAAAGGGGGGAGATCGGCAGAGGGAGGGGTGCTGCCTGTTGAGCCCAAGGTGAAAAGGGTGCCACGGTCCTGCAAATGGAGACGAGGGGCTCACACTCAATCTGACTCTGCAAGTTGGGTTGGGTTCGAGGGGGGGCGGGTGGGAGGTCGGCAGTCTGGATGGGTGCACTGTCTGCCTCGAGCCTGTTCAAGAGACAGACAGTTGCTCATTTGTCTGCTGTCCTTTCTCTCTCACTCTTTCTGTCAGTTTCCAGCCTTCCCATCTGTATGTGATTTGGACACAGGCTCAGGGGAGAGGCAAGTCCGCTAAGGGAGAAGAATCAGGGCAGGGAGGGAGTGAGGGAATGAGGGAGTGAGAGAGAGGGAGAGAGAGAGAGAGAAAGGGAGGAAGTCCACACAAGTTTGTTTTACGGGACTCAGCCCGGGCCGGGACGAGGGGCAGTGCCGCATCTGGACGTCGGGGAAAAGTGAAGCCAACCAGTGCAGCCGAGCAAAGAGGAAGCTGCCCAGAGACTTTCCCGACCGCCAGGAGACACTGACTGACGGAGAAGAGGGGAATCACTGGGCAAAAAACACAAACATGGCTGCTAAAACTCTGTCCTGGCTCTGCCTTCTCTGCATCCTCTCAGGGACTGTCTATCCAGCTTCTGCCGCCAGGCTTGGGGAACAGCAACAGTCGGTGCTGAAAGTAAGACAGATTTTTTTTGGAGGGGGGGTGCTGGTATATCGTGCATGCCAGCAGCAGCTATGTTTGACTGTCTTTGCCTGCTGTACATATGTAGAATGAAGCTCACTGTTAGACTGTCAAGGATGAGGCCGATTTCTAAGCGATTTGGGAGTTTGAGAGCTCCCTTGGGACTCTCTCTGGACACTGAAACTTTCCAACAGTCCTGCTTTGTGTTCACGCATGTGTGTGTTTGTGTCATCAGAGGTACCCCGGGGCTGAAGCTCAGATGGGCTCTAAGTTACTGTCTCCACTGTTGTCATGCCCCTCCTGCCCCTCCCTGACAGCTCCCTAATGGAAACCAGCTGCCAAATGTTGAGCAACAACCCAGAGAGACAGAGAAAGAACACAATAGGCATTAAGGGCATGAGAAGCCATTAATGACTGCTGGCACACAGGCCACAGCTTCGCATAGCTTCACTGGATATAAACTCACAGGCTCAACTTAACAAACCAGATTTTTGGGGATAAAACTTTCAGCCAGTGTACACCCTAATTGCATTCATGGGAAAGACGCATGAAATGTGAATGTGAAAATGTGATGGAGATCACAAAGGTTGGTGTATGTGCACATTTTAAGTAATGATAAAGGCAAAGCAGGAAAGCAAGAGCCAAAGTCATGGATTTGTTTGGCTGCACTGTCTAAAGATACACAAGGTGCTCTTCGTCTGTTGCAATTCTGGCAGAAAAGCAGTTTGGGGAGTGTTTTCTAACCCAAGTGTAAGAACGAAACCATGAAATTGTCATCAAAACAAACTTGGTATCGCAATCAGTAACCAAAGCTGGTTCCAAGCTGAAAAATACTCCTAAGTGAATACAGCTTTTTAAAATTTTTAAAGGCAATTTGATGCGTAAACTCTGAGATTACATCAAAAATGTAACTTCACTTCCAGACTAGATGCCACATGAAGACTGCAGGAGCTGTAAATGGTCATTTCCTGTGTTTACACACCTCATCTAATGCTGTAATCTGTTTTTTTCGTAGTTACAGGAGACAAAGTTACAATTTCACTCATCTCCTGTGGCAACTGAAAAGCCTTATTGAGCAAGACTTCCCACTTTTACTGTAGGGCTGCTACTCCAGTCAAACTGGAAGGTCAATGCTGAAATATAAATTAACCGGAGGTGTCTTTGGTGTCACCTCCATTACCCCTATAACATCGTAACCCTTTGTGTTGACCATAAATCCACCTTAGTCCAGCCAAACATCCTGAGGAATTGCTTCCATGTTGAACGATCACATACCTCATGACTTATGGCCAACTGGGTGTGGAGAGTCAGGCTATTGGCTAGACATGTGTAATTTGTCTGTTCTTTGTTCACATCCCACACAAACCAAACCAAGTTTACCAAGTCTGGTTTCTTTGTCTCATAGTAAATCTGAAAAAACCCTACCGATGCTTCGCTTTATAGGAATGTTGTGCCAGACTGTAATACGTACAGTCCTAATGCACCAATGCATGTATTCAGAATTAACTCAACTAAACTAGTATTTCTGTCAAGACTGATTATTGTACACCTTTCTTGTACAATTTGACCCCACAGTTATAAAAGATGAAGAGCCTAGAGAAACCTTTTTGGGGTTTCTCACCATTAGTACTGCGGAGGAACCTTTTGAGTTCAAGATGATTCCTTGAGGGAACCTTACTTCCAGGTTACCTCCTCAGAACAGTTCTTTAAAGTCACATTTTTGTATGATTTGGGGTTCCATTTTAAACTAATATTATCATTATAATTAAAAATTGTTTTATATTTGACTAAAATAAAGCATAAAATTACTTTTAACCTTGTTATTTCTTTATGATAAAATGAAGCAAACTGATCTTGTTATAAGGATACATGTGAAAATATTGCAATGTACACAATAACAATATAACTTTAGTGTTAAAAGTAAAATAATGTGAGTTAGGCCGATAATTAACTAAAAAAAAATCCTCCAGGAACCTCTTTTAAGTTAAAATAGCACATCTTCTCTAAATTTAGCTGTTTAAATTTAAACTTAAAAGAGATCATTCTAAGAGATCAAGCCAGTCATGCTTTCAAGCTGTAAATTTACTATTACTCCAGAAAGTTGTAGCAAATTATCAGACCACAGATGAGTTATAACTGTATTTTTTTACATGAATGTTCTGTAACACTGTGACCATCAGTATATGGTTGCTTTCTCAGAACTCTGAACTGATCAGTATGATGAAATTTGCTGATACAATGGTTGTAGATCAAAATGCAAAAGTGAATGTGAGCATATTTCATCCTCAAACGTGGCAAGGCCTCATGCATTTTCGGATATATATATATGTTTATTTCCCTGAATTTTTCCCTGAACTGAGGGTCCCCCGAGAGGAGGCCTGGCCCCCACAGCCAGACGGTCTCCACAGAGTTATTGAGTTTGGATGAGGTTCTCATGACCCGGGATCTGTCCCATCCTGAGGATGTTCACAAGAGTTAGCATGACTAAATCCAGTGTCTGAGCCTTCAAGGTCGGTAAAAGTACAGCAGCAAGTTCCAGTCAGGAGGCCAAGCGGAAATGAGAATCAACCATTCAGTCTTCTACATTTAATCCACTTAATTCCCCCACCATAGTAAAACTCCACAGACAGGCTGATGTACACAGGATATTAGCAATAGCAGTTAAAAGTTATCTTCCAGCTGTCATACAGGCTTCCCATCCATACACACACTACAGGGGGGTGGTGGGCTTCACAGTTTTGGATCTACATGACACGAGAGAGGCTGCAGACTTTGGACAGAGCTCATCTGTGGAGCCAAATCCTGTTTTTGTGCTCTGTATCGCAAAGATAGAGCCGTATGGTCAACACACAGGAAATACACTGATGCCAGAGCAGAAAAAGCGATCAAATCACTGGAAAAGCCGCTTCTCTTGAAAACAGAGAGCGGCTATATCACATGTTGAATGCCAGCTTTGTTCTTCACTGTTGAGGACACAGTAGGAGGGCCGCGGAAATAGTTCACATTACTGAGCATGCTCACAGCTGGCAGAGTGCTGCAGATGTCAATTGTTTCTGAGTACCATCATGTTTGAAAATCCTAATCCAGTTTTCAGATTCACCAAAAGAGAAATGAGTCTTAAAGTAATGAGTAAATCATCAGGGGAAAACACTTATTTGCTGTCTTTCTGAGAGATAGAATGGCAAGACTGAAATAATTTTTGGTTAATTAATGAGCTGGAGTCAGGACTAGTTAGTCTAGTATAAAAGGTGGATACCAGACTGTCCAAAACTGGTTAGCAATCAACCTTAGCTCACCAATGAGCATGTTTCTATCTTGTTTGTGTCGGCCAGTGGCTGTCAAACTGGAAGTTTCCATGATACATCTCGGTTATGAGGCTAATCCTGGTTCTGATCAGATTTGGAATATGGTGTTTACATGGAGAACCGAGAAATGTTTTTTCAAGCCATAGTGTCGCGCAAACTGGGTAACTGTGGGAAATAATGCTTAGTTTGTGTTTCTGTTCATCACTTGGATGCAGCAGCATCCACGCAGGTACTCGGCAGCGGTCAGAAACTTGTATAAGACGTATATTTGCAGCAGTTTCTTTCAGAGTGCTCCAGCTAATATAATCTGGTTTCTCAAGAATAAGAGCTTATCCAGGTTTATAAAATCAGGATATAGTGTTTCCTTGCACAAAATGTGATTCTTCCAAAACTCCATCATAGCTGCGATATTTAAGTCCATGTAACTGCAAAAGCTGTATGCACAATATCTTAGCAAATACTTAACTATTTGCACATCCACAAAGTACAAACAATACTAACACTGAGATATTTTCTGTCCTTTGGGTCTCCACAAACACCTAAGAAAAATTCTGGCTATTTAGCTCTAAATGCTCCAATATGTCCATCAGCTTGTTGCTAACCTTAGGCTATTTTCCATTGCAGGAACTTGGGCAACATTATAGGGCAATCCCAACTACTGTGCATGTTGTGAACCGTCCTTGTAGAATCTCTTTTTGAGAGGGAAAAAAGTACCTACTACAGAAAAGGTACCCATGAGCTGCCCTGGAAACCTGCTGTGCATGGCTTGATGTTGATTGCTTAAACTCAGAGAAGGAAAATGAAAAAAAAAAAAAGGTCAACATGTGTACGTTTTCTGTCCTCTGGATGTGTTTGTACAGTGGTAGTCTTCTCCTCTCTAGTATTGTTATCTTTAGCATAAAATTCACCATATCAGCTAACTTTGACATTACAAACTTAAGATTAGTATTCTCATCTCATTTTGGTAAGTGCTGAACTTTTAGGTCCAGAGCTCGAATTACAAATGGTTATTGCAACAAGTCATCCAAACACAGGAAGAAAAAGTTTATTCCACAAGCTGTTTAGCTGGCTTCAATAGACATACATTCCTCTCATTTTAGAGGAGTCTAAAGACATCCAAGTTCTACCTAAACACCATCTGCTCCATCTCCTGACTCCAACCCTCCACCCCCTGTCCTGTGACCTCCTGTGTATATACTCTGCAGCTGTTTGACCCATCATGCACTGTCACGCAGTTAATAGGTCTGAACCATTTCAAAACTCTGTTAAGTGGCTTTACAAATGGTAAATAGCAGGCATCTCAGTGCTCTTCCCATAAACTTGGGGTTTATTGCTCCTCGTGGCTTGAGCTACCATTTGGGATCATTTTAGCTTCTTTTTTTTTCTTCTTCCTGTGAGCCCCGAACCCGCTGGCATGATTAATTCAATGTGTTTGATGTGTTTACATGGATGGTTGACACATTGAGTGTTTACATGGCAATGACGGATGGCTGTGCTATCAGCGTATGTGCGCTGCGGGTCAGGGAGACCCACAGGAAAAGGGTCTGCAGGAAGAATCAGAGCTGCTGTTTGCAGGATGTTTCACATTTAGCTGTCTAAATAATAGTGCCTTTGTCTCACAGCCCATCTGTGGATAAATCAAAGGAAAGTATGAAGCACAAGTGGGCAAAAGGCTACTGTACGTCCGTGGAATGTTCCATCTTCTGCTCATTCTGAATGCAAAGCATCAATGTCCAGCTGACTGGCTGGAACAACGAGGTCAAACTGTGGAGTTCTTACAGTCTGCTGCAAACAGAGTGTGATTGTACGCCTCATTGAATGGTGCTGCTTCAAAAGATGTTCAGACACATGCGTGCATGTGTGTGTGGGTGCGTGTGCGCGTGTGTGAGTGTGTGTGTGTGTGTGTGTATGTGTGTGTGTGACTCTTACATCACACCATCCTGAGAAGGCCTGGTGAACAAACATCAGACAGGATGCAGGGTTTAACATGACATTCTGTAAAAAGGGAGGATGCTGCAATTCGGAAGAGTTTCCTCACAACTTGCACTGGAGAGTTAAGAAATGTTACTTAAAACATGTAGGTCAGAGCTTAAATTGTTTGTATATCTAGTGCTGAAGTTAAACTGCAAAACTATCTAACTGATCATCAGTGTAACACAGTTTAATAGAAGTGTGTTAGTGCTGTACTTCAGATATATTGTTTTTCTCAAACAAGCTGAGTACCCTTTAAAGGTACTATAATACCTTTCAGACAGCTTTTCCGTACAACTTGGAGGTTGGAGAAGGTGTCCCCTTACCCTTTGGCCTGGACCTGTGTCTGTTTTAGTAATCTATTTGCACTTAAAAAGCAGTCTCTGTCTTTGATGAGCCGGGGTGATATGTGTAGCAGATGAATAAAGTAGTTTTGCAAAAGTTTAGAAGATTCATTCGAAACAGTATCCTAAGTTTATACTGGAGTGTTGTGTGTCTTTTAGGTGAGTGCTGAGTTTGGTCATGACTGATTCAATATGTTCCAGGTTTCAAAATGAATCGCCTCTCTTATAAGAGTTTCTCCACTTTTTTCTTGATGTGCTGAGGTTTTTGTTTGAGGATTTTTTTTACTGGTCGTCTTACAGACTTCAGATTGACTCAGGAACATTTAGAGGTAGAGATGTTGTGATCTGTTGTTTTTGTCTTTGATCTGATGTAGCTAATACACATTTCAAGTATTACATACAGTAGTAACCTGTGGTACCTCAGACTTGGCACTCAGTAGTTCCATATTTGCAAGCAGAGAGCATTGTAACAGAGTAGCTAGCAAAGGGTCACCATGACAAAGACTTCTGTGATGCTTAACAGTTTCCAGCCAGAGCTCCTGTGTTCAAGACAAACTGTGACCGACCAGTGCAAAGTGTTTCTATATCCCAGGGGGGAATGGAACAGAACTGCCTTTATGGCCCATATCATATGTCTGTTGACTAAAACAGCAATATCAGCATAGGGCAAAGAAACCACTGTGATGACTGATAATGCTGCATTTATTAAGAACATTATTGAAAATTTGCTAACAACCTGCTACAAATTGTGCTCTCATTGTACAACACCTCGTTGTAGGTGTAAGTCGATGTAAGTCTTAGGTTCATGCCATTACCAGTTAGTTAGAAAATGCCTTGACATCCTCTAGTTCTGCACAAATAATAAGTGCATCTATTTGGGATACAATGGGGTCTCAAAGTGTGAGACTACATCAGAAATCTGTGATAATCAGAAACATGACATCGAAAGTGAAAGTGCAACAAGTAAGATTGTAACTCTCAGCAAAGAGGAGCTTTCACATCATGGATAGACAGATGGTTTCTAAGTGGGCAGCTGTATCCAAACCATATTCAGGCAGACCAAAAGTGAGCAAACCATCTGAAAATACATATGTTAAACTGTCTTCACTGAGAGATAGAAAAGCAACTTTATCACAGATACAGAATTTGTTAAAGAATGGAAGACTCCAATCAACAAAAGGCCTGTCTAGTCATGCTCCCAGAAGACATGTGGCGTCTTTAAACCCCTTCTCAGGAGGGGAAACGAGGCCAAATGCTTCAAGTGCTAAGATTTACCAGTGTTTCCCAGCAGATGATGGAAAAAGGCCTAGCTACTAATGAATCCAAGTTACAGATTTTTTTTGAGTGTATCAGATCCACAGTGGTGGCAGTAATATCTTTTGTCTGTTTTGTGTCTCTGGATTTGGAATCCACTCCACTCTGACCAAGGAGAAGTAGCACTCCATTTTTCAAAGACATGCTGCACCCTCTGGTTTGCATCTTTGTGTGGAAGGATTCAAACTGCAGCAGAATAATGAGTCCAAACTCACTTCAAAGCTTTGACCTGAAGACCAAAGAAGACTAAGGAGTGCCGACTGTCATGGACTCTCCTCCACAGTCACCTGACCTCAACCCCACTGAACATTTATAAAGGGACTGGAAGACTGAGAAAGCCAAACATTCCTGACATCACAAGAAGCTGTTTGAAAGTTTTGCAGACAGTTTGTTGTGAAATTTACTCTTTATTCATTTTGGTGACTTGATGTTATCTCTACTACCACTATCAAGGCAAATTTCCATGGCATACACATCAGCTCTCCATAAGATTGAGCCGCCAAGCCTTAATGTCAGCTTTGTACACAATATATTCTGCTTTCAGTCTATATTTTTAGACAGTACACATGTAGCCTATTCACCTATTCAGGGATTGAAAAATGTACACAAAAGCAAAGGTTTTAGCAGGATACAGTCCATGTGGCTCCAGATGCTTCTTCAGGCGCACTGGGGTCACTCAGTTACATGGCAGTTTCTTTAATACGCTTATCTAATGTGTTCAGCCTCGTTTCCATCTCTGTTTTGAGCTTGAAACAACCAATCAGCTTGCTTGATGCACAGGTTCAAACTGTATGTTGATAAGATTTATGGACAATAACTTCTATGTATAGTTACTAAACAGTTCCTCTGCTCTGTTTCTGCTAATTATTTACTTAGAATTTACATTTCTGTTGCCAATACAGGTGTGCACAAAGGGATTTTTCCTCAGCGAGCAGAACATATGCCTACCATGTAACTGCAAAGGCCACGCTGACTACTGTGAAGACATCACTGGTGTTTGTATAGTAAGTTTGCTGCATTGTTTTTTTACTCAAACTATCCAACTGAACAAAGCATGCCATGAATTTAATGTCTCTCCCTTCCAGAACTGCAGAGACCGCAGTACAGGTGATTTCTGTGAAATGTGTGAAGACGGATACATGGTGGCTCCCACCCTGGATGGACGCCACACCTGCAAACCCTGCGCCTGCCCCCTGTCCGTCCCCTCCAATAAGTAAGCTGGTCTGTTCTTGTTTGTGCAACCACAGGGATGAATGTTGGCAAGCAGCGTGTAATCTCTCAAATACTTTCCCCTGTGTGTCCGGCCAGTTTCGCAGTGCACTGTGACAGAGGAAGTGCCATTCTGCGGTGCAAGTGCCAAGAGGGCTATGCTGGACATATCTGTGAGAGGTCAGTGCTGAGGAGGCTCTGAACAAGCAGTCAAGAACAGTGTAAATCCACTTTACCTGAAAAATGCTCCATGCACATTCATGAAAAACTGTGGATGAGTGTCTGATGTGAGCAGAACTTCATGTCGGGGCATCAGCCACATTTAAGTCCACAATACTCACTTTACTGACGTTACAGTAGATTAACTGCAACCTGTGTGCAGCATGTTTGGAATGTGTGGCTAATTTCTTAAAGAGTGCTAAATAAATAATTTACGAATCCTCATAAATTATTCAGGTTTCCTCGTATCTGTGTTCAAGAGGTTCAAATGCTTGTTTGGCAAACATTTAAAAAACACCAACAGTTTCCATTGGATGCTTCACAGAACACAGGCATTTACACACAAAAAAAAACCTGCAAGTGCAGCACAGCTACTCTTGTGTCCACTCATTAGTCACATCACTGCACTCCAAAATACTTAAAATAATACAACAGTTTGCATCAATCTTTTTGAATTCAGACAGCTTCTAATGAAAATATGTTCAGCCAACAAACTACACTGACTTAAGCTGCAATGATAATTAAAAGCTAAAGTAAACTTAATCTTTTGTTCATTAATAAAGGCCCAAAATTCAGTTTGTTTGCTCTTCAAGCTGCACCACCACACCAACACTCCACCTTCCCAAAATAATATGTAGCACACTACATGTAGGTGTCCGTTTGTCTGTAGGTTGTTTAAATCACTGAGTATCCAAACACGTGTTTATCCTTAACTTCTTTCCTTGTGATAGGCAGTGATATGTCTGCTGTTTTCCTTATCCAGGTGTGCTCCTGGGTACTATGGCAACCCAATGGCAATTGGTAATTCCTGCAAGAGGTGCGACTGTAACGGCAACTCCGACCCGAACCTGATCTTCAGCGAGTGCCACAACGTGACGGGTCACTGCCAGCACTGCTGGGGAAACACCGCTGGCGCCAACTGCGAGAGGTGCGCTCCAGGTTTCTACGGCGACGCCATCAGTGCCAAGAACTGCAGAGGTGAGGGCAACGAGTGAACTCCCACATCCTGAACCGTCATTCAAGAGATGCTTGATCCATGAAAGCTGTTTGCTGTTTAATGCTCTGTTAAACCCCAATAATGCAACTCATGCATCTTAAGCTTATCACAAAGCTGGATGTATAATAAAAGCAGGAAGATTAATGAAGCTTGTTGACACAGTTGCTCCGGCTGGCTGTTGTACATACTTGTCACACACCCAGTGACACCAGACGTACATTCCTCCAAATCAGTGTTGTAAAGCATGATAACCTGCAGTGTTATGTCATGCTGTGTTGGAGTAAAAATAAGAGCCGTTTGAGGAATTGTGTTTTTACAAGATGTGCAAGACAAGTTTCGTTTTCAGCATTATGCGTGCAGTGTGTATGCAACGTCAAAGTTTCTCTATGGAAAGACAAGACAAGGTCACAATTCCAGATCAAGGATTACAATATGCCTTTCGAGGCCCTGCAAGTCCAAAAATAACCCTTTCCACCATGCTTGTGATGTAATTTGACCTCTAAAGTTCTCATCCCTGTCTATGTCCTGCGTCTCTCCTAGAATGCGAGTGCAACAAATGTGGCACCTCTTCATGCGACGACAGGACAGGAGTGTGTCACTGCAAGCCAGGAGTCACTGGACGACTCTGCGACCAGTGTGAGGTGAGACAAACCCAAGATTCCTGCAAGGAGACGCAGACATTCACTGTTGATGGACAGTTCAAAAGATCACATCAGTTTTCTTTTTGTAGCTTTGGCCATTCTGAGCTGTAGACACCTCAGAAAGTATTCACTGTCACTTTTTATACACTTTGTTGTGTTGTAAATTTTCTTGTCTAAAGTTTTTCCCAGTAATCTACGCTCAGTAAACTATCATGATAACGGGAAAACAAACTTCCTTCAAATCTGAAGCACAAATTTCTCTTTTACAGTGGCAGTCCACAGCGTAGTCAGTTGCCACCTGTTGCTTCATTCATCTTTAAGATGTCTCTAGAACTCGATCGAAGTCCACCTGTGTGGAACTGAACTGATTAGACATAGTCACACTACATGTCATCTCCATGATAAAGTAGTGGCAAGGCCTAGATCAGGGTGAGGGTGTAAAATCATTTCTAAAGCTTGGCCTGTTCCCAAAAGCACAGTGCCCCCTATAAGTGTTAAATAGTATAAGTTTGAAACTATGAGGACTCACTCCTCCTTAAGCAGGTCGTTGGTGACTAAGAGTGTAAGTGTCACTATGACAGAGCTTCAGGAGTTCTCTGCAGAGATGGGAGAACCTGCAGGAGGGATGAACATCTCAGTAGCAGTCCATCAATCAAGTCTCATGGTGGACAGGAGAGACAGAAAACATTCTATCCATCTGTCTAAACGCACAACAGTCGATTTAGTGTTGTCTAAAGGCATTTAAAGTATTCTGGGAGCATGAGGGAAAAGATTTTTTTGATCTGATGAGACAAAAATTGAACTCCCTGTACTCCACATCTGTATAAAAGCATGGTGGTGGCAACATCATGCAATGGTGCCGCTTCACAGTGGCCGGGGGTAAGAGACTGGTCAGAATGAAAAGGCAATGAATGCAGCCAAATATTGCAAGGTTTTAAAAAAGAAACCTGAAAAAAAAAAAGAAAAAAGAAAACCTGCCTCAGAGGACACAGACTTTAGATTGGGGTGATGGTTTACTTTTAAGTACAACAATTGTTTAAAGGATACAGCCAAGAAAATGCTGGGGTGGCTTCAGAACCAGTCTCTGACTGTCCTTGAGTGACCTAACCAAAACCCCAACTTCAACCTTGTAGAACATAAGAGGATAAATGTAAAGATCACAGTTCACAGATGCTTTCTATCCAAACTGAAGAAGATGGAGAGGATCTGTCAGGGAGAGTGAGATAAACTACCTAAATCCACATGTGCAAAACCTGCAGAGACTTACCCAAGCAGAGTCAAAGGTGCAACTGCTGCTAAACAGGCTTTTATGAAGTGTTACATTAAGTTTTTGGAATGCTTTTGTAAACGAGAGATTTCCCTTTTTAATATTTAGCAAATTTGCAAAAACATTTACGAAACATGTTTATTTGGAAAAGACAACAAAGACAAAGTGACAAATTGTGAATGAATTATCTATGGAAAAGATCAGAATTCCAGACTAATGTCCTGGCACAGAACTAGGTGTCTGGCCGCTATAACCACAACAAGAACTACAACAAAACCACAAAAGAAGTCCCCAAGCAACTCGGTAAAAAGGTTATTGAAAAGCAATAGTCGTGGATGTATACAAACAAATTTCCAAGTAGTTGAATATCTGATGACACCAGAATTGAACTCTTTGGCATTCAGACTATATGTTCGGCGGACACCAAACATTGCACATCATCATCATAAACTTGCCATCCCAACTCTGAAGTATGGTGGTGGCAGCATCATAATGTTGGAAGGTTTCTCGGTAGCAGGCCCTGGAAGGCTTGTAAAGGTAGAAGGTAAAATGAATGCAGTAAAGTATAAGGAACTGCTAAAGGTGGTTAAATCTTTTTTTATTGGGACTTTAGTAGTAATGTTATCACAATATGAGATACCAGCACTGAGACCACTGTGTATGATGTTATTATAATAGAAATTATGCCCGTAAGTAGCAAAATGAAACCCCAGGTACCCCATAAATAATGCACAATATGTTTCAAAATTAACTCAAACAGGCAGATGACTAGACATTAACAAAGTTTTTCATTCATACAATCTAGGAGGGCTACTCTGGTTTCTCCAGCTGTCAGGGCTGTCGGAGGTGTGAATGTGGGCAAGCTTCCCTTCGCTCCACCTGCCATCCCCTCACTCACAGCTGTCCATGCCGCCCGGGGGCCGGAGGTCGTTACTGCGAGCGCTGCCTCCCAGGATACTGGGACTACAGCCCCTCCGGCTGCCAGAGTAAGTCATCCGTCCTTATACATGTCAAACATTTTCTTACTGTTCTGAAATAAAGACCATTTGTTGAAACATTCAAAACAGATTCCCAGAAGAAAAGGCTGCACTGAATGCTTATGTTCCCACACCCACTACTGCAGTAGTGCTCATGATGTCAGAGAAGCATCTGCTGGGAGCCGTGACCCTGTGGTCAGAAACTCTCTGCAGAGAGTTGCATGACATCACCGTGCAACCCAAATCTATATCCATACACAGCTGCTAAAATACTCAGTCCCACACAAGAGAGGCCACAAGACAGATGTGCAGGCGTCAAGCCAACTAACCATCTGTGGGTCTCCATATATATTTGATAACTGCACTGACGTGTTTCCTGCTGATCAGGAATTTTAAAAGATGTGCAGAACTTTGTGTAACTGTGTGTGATGAAATATATCTGTTTTTTTTCATAGAGTGTGACTGTGAGAGCGGCTACTGTGACATGCATACAGGAGAATGCCTGGCCGAGGCTGCAACAGTCAACCTGTGCAACATCAGTAAGTGGAGCAAATTCTAATAGCAGACTCCACAACAGAAAAATGTAGTGTGAAAAAGAACAAAACACCTTCCAATCCATGTTTTGTCTGGTTTTAGGTTGTGATGAGTGCATTTGGCATCTGATTGGAGACTTGCGTCTGTCCAATAAGACACTGGACCAGCTCAAAGTTGGAGTGTTGAACATCTCCACTGGTGCTGCTGCTAACGACAGGCTCAAGTACTACAACTACACCGCTCATCGACTGCAGGTACATGCAACATAATGGACGAAATGTAAATACAAGATCACAGCGGCATACTCCATATCTGTGAAGACAAATTAAAGCTGCATGAGTTAAACATTTCATATGAACTGTGTTGCATAGAAGTTTGTATCATGTGAAAATGGGGTTTTTGGTCATACAGCAACACGTGAGCCCTAAATAAAGTCTTGCATTTGTAGAAATAAAATGTGAAGTTCAAGACTGAAATGTTTGCCAAAATTACTGAAAAGAGTTAAAATAATCATTAATATACTGAAATGATGTCCTCCTCCCCCAGAATTTTGAAGACATCATTGCAGCATATTGGGGTGTCCAGATTATACAGGTTTTACAATTAAAAACTTTACTGTTAGAGTTACTGGAGTTATTGACAACCAAAATATTGGACATACATTGGTCTTGTGTCCAGAGAGACACCTTTAAATCAGTGCTGATGTTGCTTTGTGTCTGATTTATGCTTCAACAGGCAATAATTTGCTAAAATGTTTGCTCTGTCGTATCTTAGCTTGGTGTGGAGTTTTTCCCCCAAGTCTGCTAACAATGTAATGACCTCTAAGCAGATTTAAACATAAAAAGCTGCATTGGTCTGGCTCTTTGGGAGGAATTCTGTCTTATTTTTCCTTTAAATCTTCATAGTATGATGAGTTTTTAAAAAATATATTGTTATTAATAACTCACTGGAATGTGGTCTGATAAAGGATATAATCTGTTTTGTTTCCAGACTCAGTTTGAAAACTGGAGAAACAAGTCGTCTATGATGAAGACCCAGACTGGTGAGCTGGAGGAGGCGACAGACGCTGTGGTGTTGGACATCAAACGGCTGGGAGAGTCGGTCAGCAAACTCTTCATCTTTCATATAGTCATGTGCATCTCAGCAGTAACCTAACACTGTACTTGTAGTTTAAGCTGCTTTGCTGTATGTGCTTCCATGAAATCCTAGAAATTCTTTACATGGCAAGCAAAGTTGGACCTGAGATGTCCCAGTGATTTAGACTTACTGCAATCTTTGTTTAACACACCTTAGAGTCCCAGAGTTAACTTCTTAGCACATGACTTCAGCCACTAGTTGGTGTCATTTCTAGTTTTTCTTGTTTTCCAGGAGAGTGTGGTGAAGAATCTGGGGAGCGAGTTGGATACCGACACTCTGGAGACCTTCACCCTGGCTGAGCAGCTCAGCACGAATCTCACCGACCTCAACATACGTATTGAAGGTACTAAACGGCTGTGCTCATGTGCAACTTTAAAATGCAAGTTTAAATTTTCCATAGTTACATACATACATCTGACAGGCCCGTATGGGTACGTCTGATGGAAAGTTGGAAAGCACTGTAGTATGAGATCCAAGGAATGGAATGAAAACAGAAGCAAAGACAGTAAAGTGTTAACACAGCCTGTTTGTATTAATGTATGTGTTTGTGTACAGAGATGATCCATGACTGGGAGCTGTACAGCGTTCAACGGGATGTGGATCCGGAGGTGGTCAGACAAAACACTGAGGCGGCTCAGGAGATGGTGAACTGGATGAGGACACTGGACCTGTCGCCGCGAGAGCCCATCGCCACCGATGAGTCGACTGAGGCCCACGATTGTGAGCAGATTTAGACACACAGTGCAAACACGAAGCTGCAAAGTGCACAAACGAAGTAACTGTTACCTCCTGGTCTCACTGTAGTGAGCTGGGTTTGGTAAAATATGTATAAACATCAATATTAAATGAAAGATTCAGCATATTTAAAGAACACATGATTGTACTAAATGGTGTGGAAGGTATAAAACATGATGGTAGGTAAACTAAAAGGCCAGTTAAAAAGCTTATGTTGGCAAATAAGTCTGGCAATTATGGGATAATGTTGAGAGTAGAACAGTCCAAAATTAAGCCAAGAGACTCAGTTGTAGAGCGTTATCTACCTGTCTTTGCTCATTTTAGTTAATATTTTGTTAACTTTGGTCTTTCCAGCAAAACCCCTGAGAGTGCCAATCTGAACAAGAATGTCTTTTAATTCTTATGAATTCGAATTTTATGGGAGAAAAGCAAACATTTCTAACTGTTCTAATAACTATGGCTGTCCCAAAAATATCGACTGGGCCAACTACACTAGCGATGCTAAACTCCAGCAATGCTAGCAGGTTTGAGAGGACCAATAGGCACAACTGGTTTTTGAGCCAAATACGAACAGAGAGAGAGCAGCAGTTACTAATTAGCACTAAATATGGAGTGCAACTGAGGCTGATGGGATATCTAAAAATTGCGAAATTTTGAATTGACAGCATGTGGTATTGATATCTGGAAGCTGCCCAACACTACCGTCCCCAGACCCATTTTAAAGCTGTTAAAAACCTTGATTTTGTGTTGTCAAACTTTAAGAGCAAAAAAAAAATAAAAAATGCTAACATTGTTAAAGAAAACTAACAGTTAAAGAAGAAAACATCACTAAGTTACAAAGAACACAGACACAGTAAAAAAAAAATGTAGATGGAAACTGTAGTCACAGCTGTGACCAACCACAAACTCATATTCGATTTTTTTTTAAAAACAACAAATTTGTCACAGACGTCTACAGTAGCAACTCCTGAGTTGACCCAGATGTGACACGAATGATGAGGAGGTGATGTTTCTGGTTGTGTATTCAGTGCTGAGGCGCATCCGTCAGTTGGAGAAGAAGCTGGTGATGACGGACGGCCGCCTCCCATCCATCAGAGAGGTTCTGACCCGACTCTCCAGCAGGCTGTCGGACGCCCGTGGATTTCTCCTGAAAGCATCTAGCACCGTGCAGGAGACTGAGGACAAGAACAGAGCCAGCGTCCTCAAATTCCAGAGGAAAGAGGTGATTTCTCATAACCCCTCTCAGCTCCAGCTACAACCTTCACTCACCCCTCCTTCAACACTCCTCAACAACTCTGTTTGTCAGTATGGATGCATCGGTATATGATTCTATAGAGAGCTCAGATCTCCTCTAACTTCTGTCTGCTTTAGCTCCATTCACAGAGTTTCAAACAGTGTTGAGTTTTGCTTTATCACAAAAGGATTCTACACACACAGTTGCACAAGAAGGCTTTAAGAGAGCGATCTGGTTGTAGTTTGCCCAGCATGTCAGAGGAGTCTATTGCTTGTGGTATTTAAGTGCTGAGAACAGAACTACAACCATGTGTGGGAGCTTTGGACTGTTACATTAGGAGGAGGCCCGCACAGGGGGAGAAGCTGCAATGCTTTTTCCCATGACAATATCCAGAGCCCACACGTAGAAACACGGTGCAGCCAGCCAATTCACAGAATCAAGACTGGAGGGAGGAGATTCATGTAATTCTCCACGAGAGAAATCCAAAACACTGACAAGCTTTTAGACTGCTCTGCAAATATTATGCTGAATATGTCATAGATGGCCAGATAGATAGCGGAGAAATTGTTTAGACATCTTGGCAGGGGTATTTACTTTAAATCTGCTTTATTATAAGCAGAGATGCATGCTGTATTAATATATGTCGATGCATCTGCAATTTCTTTGGCAACCCTGAAGACATACTACGACATAAAGCGGTAAAGTAGTGTTGTTTAAAAGCAGTGTTAAAATTACAGCTGAGCCTTTTGCTTGAACATTTGCCACAGTATTTACTGCATTTAAACTCCAGTTGCTACTGTGAAATGTAGCACCAGGTCAGAAAATATATGTATAGTGACAATCAAAAAAGTTTGGATTCCATTTGAATTGTGTTGCGAATTTTGCAAGTTTTGACCTCATTGCAGCTTTTCCCCAAAGCTACCCAGAGCTGCTGAAGATTGAGATAAATAGGTAGGCTTGCCACATTCACATATCTCTCAGTGTGGCCAGACTTGTTGTGGTTTTCACCCACCTCTTATAAGACCTTTTCTCTTCCTCAAAGTGACATCTGCCAAGATAATGGCAATCTTGTGTTGTTGTTTGTCATGCAATGAGAAATTTAATTCATACAATTTTCACACAAAATAAATAGTGTTTTACTGTCTTTACTGCAAAATTGTCTTTTAATTTGACAAAAATTCTACGTGCAATTGATGGCTCGGTTCAAACAGGATCAAAAATGATCTCGCCATTGATTACTGTGCATATTTTTTTCCAAGATCAGGTACCGTAGGGCTCACCAGAAGTGATAGTACTCAGCCTCTCGAGATAGATTTGGTGGATACTTTGTCCCCTTAATATTAAAACAAGATAACCACCTGCTGCCCAAATAGCAGTATCTCCAAAGACCCCCATTAAAAACCAAACATCTGTAGCACAATTAACAGAACATCTCCAACAAACAAAGTTGATTTTGACCCATTCTAATGAATTTTCTTGTGTAAAATTTAGAAATTTGTGAAATTTTGCTATCATCACAATGTTAAATCTATGGGCTGAGTCTGAGCACACAGGTGAAGCCAGCAGAGAAAACCCCACTGAGCATGTGCACTGAATCACACAACTTCAAGGTTTAAAGCTGTTTTTTCTTTCAGGCACCATTNGAGGGTCCCCCGAGAGGAGGCCTGGCCCCCACAGCCAGACGGTCTCCTCAGAGTTATTGAGTTTGGATGAGGTTCTCATGACCCGGGATCTGTCCCATCCTGAGGATGTTCACAGGAGTTAGCATGACTAAATCCAGTGTCTGAGCCTTCAAGGTCGGTAAAAGTACAGCAGCAAGTTCCAGTCAGGAGGCCAAGCGGAAATGAGAATCAACCATTCAGTCTTCTACATTTAATCCACTTAATTCCCCCACCATAGTAAAACTCCACAGACAGGCTGATGTACACAGGATATTAGCAATAGCAGTTAAAAGTTATCTTCCAGCTGTCATACAGGCTTCCCATCCATACACACACTACAGGGGGGTGGTGGGCTTCACAGTTTTGGATCTACATGACACGAGAGAGGCTGCAGACTTTGGACAGAGCTCATCTGTGGAGCCAAATCCTGTTTTTGTGCTCTGTATCGCAAAGATAGAGCCGTATGGTCAACACACAGGAAATACACTGATGCCAGAACAGAAAAAGCGATCAAATCACTGGAAAAGCCGCTTCTCTTGAAAACAGAGAGCGGCTATATCACATGTTGAATGCCAGCTTTGTTCTTCACTGTTGAGGACACAGTAGGAGGGCCACGGAAATAGTTCACATTACTGAGCATGCTCACAGCTGGCAGAGTGCTGCAGATGTCAATTGTTTCTGAGTACCATCATGTTTGAAAATCCTAATCCAGTTTTCAGATTCACCAAAAGAGAAATGAGTCTTAAAGTAATGAGTAAATCATCAGGGGAAAACACTTATTTGCTGTCTTTCTGAGAGATAGAATGGCAAGACTGAAATAATTTTTGGTTAATTAATGAGCTGGAGTCAGGACTAGTTAGTCTAGTATAAAAGGTGGATACCAGACTGTCCAAAACTGGTTAGCAATCAACCTTAGCTCACCAATGAGCATGTTTCTATCTTGTTTGTGTCGGCCAGTGGCTGTCAAACTGGAAGTTTCCATGATACATCTCGGTTATGAGGCTAATCCTGGTTCTGATCAGATTTGGAATATGGTGTTTACATGGAGCACCAAGAAATGTTTTTTCAAGCCATAGTGTCGCGCAAACTGGGTAACTGTGGGAAATAATGCTTAGTTTGTGTTTCTGTTCATCACTTGGATGCAGCAGCACCCACGCAGGTACCCGGCAGCAGTCAGAAACTTGCATAAGACGTATATTTGCAACAGTTTCTTTCAGAGTACTCCAGCTAATATAATCTGGTTTCTCAAGAATAAGAGCTTATTCAGGTTTATGAAATCAGGATGTAGTGTTTCCTTGCACAAAATGTGATTCTTCCAAAACCTCATCATAGCTGCGATATTCAAGTCCATGTAACTGAAAAAGCTGTATGCACAGTATCTTAGCAAATACTTAACTATTTGCACATCCACAAAGTACAAACAATACTAACACTGAGATATTTTCTGTCCTTTGGGTCTCCACAAACACCTAAGAAAAATTCTGGCTATTTAGCTCTAAATGCTCCAATATGTCCATCAGCTTGTTACTAACCTTAGGCCATTTTCCACTGCAGGAACTTGGGCAACATTATAGGGCAATCTCAACTACAGTGCATGTTATGAACCGTCCTTGTAGAGTCTCTTTTTGGGAGAGAAAAAAGTACCTACTACAGAAAAGGTACCCATGAGCTGCCCTGGAAACCTGCTGTGCATGGCTTGATGTTGATTGCTTAAACTCAGAGAAGGAAAATGAAAAAAAAAAAAAAAGGTCAACATGTGTACGTTTTCTGTCCTCTGGATGTGTTTGTACAGTGGTAGTCTTCTCCTCTCTAGTATTGTTATCTTTAGCATAAAATTCACCATATCAGCTAACTTTGACATTACAAACTTAAGATTAGTATTCTCATCTCATTTTGGTAAGTGCTGAACTTTTAGGTCCAGAGCTCGAATTACAAATGGTTATTGCAACAAGTCATCCAAACACAGGAAGAAAAAGTTTATTCCACAAGCTGTTTAGCTGGCTTCAATAGACATACATTCCTCTCATTTTAGAGGAGTCTAAAGACATCCAAGTTCTACCTAAACACCATCTGCTCCATCTCCTGACTCCAACCCTCCACCCCCTGTCCTGTGACCTCCTGTGTATATACTCTGCAGCTGTTTGACCCATCATGCACTGTCACGCAGTTAATAGGTCTGAACCATTTCAAAACTCTGTTAAGTGGCTTTACAAATGGTAAATAGCAGGCATCTCAGTGCTCTTCCCATAAACTTGGGGTTTATTGCTCCTCGTGGCTTGAGCTACCATTTGGGATCATTTTAGCTTCTTTTTTTTTCTTCTTCCTGTGAGCCCCGAACCCGCTGGCATGATTAATTCAATGTGTTTGATGTGTTTACATGGATGGTTGACACATTGAGTGTTTACATGGCAATGACGGATGGCTGTGCTATCAGCGTATGTGCGCTGCGGGTCAGGGAGACCCACAGGAAAAGGGTCTGCAGGAAGAATCAGAGCTGCTGTTTGCAGGATGTTTCACATTTAGCTGTCTAAATAATAGTGCCTTTGTCTCACAGCCCATCTGTGGATAAATCAAAGGAAAGTATGAAGCACAAGTGGGCAAAAGGCTACTGTACGTCCGTGGAATGTTCCATCTTCTGCTCATTCTGAATGCAAAGCATCAATGTCCAGCTGACTGGCTGGAACAACGAGGTCAAACTGTGGAGTTCTTACAGTCTGCTGCAAACAGAGTGTGATTGTACGCCTCATTGAATGGTGCTGCTTCAAAAGATGTTCAGACACATGCGTGCATGTGTGTGTGGGTGCGTGTGCGCGTGTGTGAGTGTGTGTGTGTGTGTGTGTATGTGTGTGTGTGACTCTTACATCACACCATCCTGAGAAGGCCTGGTGAACAAACATCAGACAGGATGCAGGGTTTAACATGACATTCTGTAAAAAGGGAGGATGCTGCAATTCGGAAGAGTTTCCTCACAACTTGCACTGGAGAGTTAAGAAATGTTACTTAAAACATGTAGGTCAGAGCTTAAATTGTTTGTATATCTAGTGCTGAAGTTAAACTGCAAAACTATCTAACTGATCATCAGTGTAACACAGTTTAATAGAAGTGTGTTAGTGCTGTACTTCAGATATATTGTTTTTCTCAAACAAGCTGAGTACCCTTTAAAGGTACTATAATACCTTTCAGACAGCTTTTCCGTACAACTTGGAGGTTGGAGAAGGTGTCCCCTTACCCTTTGGCCTGGACCTGTGTCTGTTTTAGTAATCTATTTGCACTTAAAAAGCAGTCTCTGTCTTTGATGAGCCGGGGTGATATGTGTAGCAGATGAATAAAGTAGTTTTGCAAAAGTTTAGAAGATTCATTCGAAACAGTATCCTAAGTTTATACTGGAGTGTTGTGTGTCTTTTAGGTGAGTGCTGAGTTTGGTCATGACTG